TCAGTTTTAATATAGGACAGAATACATTCCTCATAAGGAAGATTTCTTATAATTTTTATAATGTTTACAATAAAATTTGTAAATATATTCAATACTAGTTATGAATATTACTAGTATTATCATTATTCATTCAAGTTTCACAAAATTCTATTGAGAAGAGAAAAACTCTTTGAATGTTCACTTTAAATATATATATAAAAAATTCAGATCCACCATCTCTCTCTCTCCCTCCCCTTTCCCACAGGCAGGTAAGTGGCTGCTGCTGGGCAGGATAGGGAGCAAAGGCTTGTGACATTGACTGGGAAAAGTCAAGGAAGATTGAAAATGAGAATCACATGACCACAGCAGCAGCAGCCAATAATACTGAAGCAGCCATCATTTTCCTACATTTCATTCCTTCAAGAGTTATGGGTCCTGGACTTTGGACACTTTCTGTAAGTTAGCCATTTGAGATTCAAAAATCGTTGCCTTTGATGCACCATTTTTCCCTGTTAAAGAACATGACAATGAGAATATTAGTAGTTTATAAATGGATTACATTACCCAAATTACACCTAATGTAAATCAACCAGTTAATCACAGAAGTTAAATTGACAAAAGGCAGCATTGTGACAAGTATGTTTGACTTGTTTGTAGAAATGCACAGATTAGAATGTTCTGTTCTAGTCTTTCCTTCGTCCTAGTCCAAGTCTTATTTCTATTCTATTCTATTCTATTGAGTAGAGCAAAATAAAACAGAACAGAACAGAAATATTAATAATGCTAAAAGTGTAAATTAACTTGACTTAGATTATCTCAAAGGTTACTATGCGTTCGAGTGAGTATAGAAAGAGGAGTAGCCATATTCCTGTATATAGCATATAGCACTTGACAGAGAAATTAATTTTAAACTATTTGGAAAAAATGTATGCAACAATGTTACTTCTAAACCTGCGTATAAAAAGATTGGTCTAATAGACATATATTTATTTATATATCTTTTATTATTTTTACACTAACTCAAGGAAATGAAATGTAGGAAAATGATGGCTG